AAGGTCATTTTTTTTTATTGCAAGCATCTTATAGCATATTATTTCTCTTTAATTGACATTTAGGAGATTCTGCAAAATGACAGTAATGGCATTGTGCTGTGCATTCCAACTAGAAATGAGGATGATCATAAGTGCAAGTGAATTTAGTTTGACACTTACCTTTGTTCCTCATTGTGACGGCAGGAACTGAGCACTGAGTGCTGGAATCTGGAACTGTAAACTGCTGTTTGGGCAACTAGTCAAAGAAACGAAGAACAAAAAAGCATAAACGAAAGGAAAATCGATTTTGGCTGCAGGACAAAAGAATGTTCCAGGGTCAGTGGTGGATGGGAGAGTTTTACCTTCATCTTCACGTTGGCACAAACAGGCAAGCTGTCCCTGCAGCCCTTGTGGACGGATGCATTACAGTCTGGAAAGAAAAGCAACATAGTGAGCCCGCTGACGGTGGTGATGCTGGGGCCAGTGATTGTGTATGTGTGGGGGGAGGAGGCGGGGGCTAGAAATTCTGACTGGTTTTCACAGTCAGCCAGGAAACTCCACCAGCCCGCTAATGAAAGCCAGACTGGAGCAGCACGCGTGATGCAACAGAGGGGCAATACTGCTGGGTGGAAAAGAAAAGGAAAAAAAAAAAACGACTAGATTTGACGCACACACATGTATACTGCTCTACATGGGAAAATCTCCGTTTTGTAAACATTCCTATATTCATCATTTAGGAACTAAAGTCATAATTCATGCCTCCTAAAATAAGATTTGCAGTGTAATCTGATCCTGTTCAGACAGTCAGCGACTCCGATTCGCCTGTATCCTCTGGGAAACTACCCACAAAGCGTTTGTGTTTCATACCTCCAGCTAAACTCCTAAACAGCTGCAGGCGTCCATTAGGGAAGAGGCTGAAAAAAAAATGAAACACTGAGCAGGTCGGATGTTTCGCCTGCTTTGCTAAATTTTTATAGCAAAGTGTTTCTGCTGAATAACTTATCAGACATGTTGCGCAAATTACACCCACAAAGTATTGTCATTGTGGTTGGCGCAACATTTCTGTTCTGAAGATTACATCAGTAAACATACACTCTTGTTGCTGGTGAGATCATAAAAAAAAAGTCAAGTTTGGACAGAAAGGCAACAACGCCATTAGTGGTAGTTTCAGGCGCTGTCGGATTTTTATATGCATGATCTTTTTCCTCTTCCCCTAACAGCATTATTTGGTATTTCCCCTTTTTTCTGTAGACATCTAAGTAGACCCA